ATATTTGCATTTCAGGAAAGCCTCACTTATATGATGAAACTGATTCCGATTGGGCACCAAGCAAACTATTAGGGTATGAAACTCCAAGATCACCATCAAAAGCTGCTATCAGACATGAGAGACTTCTAAACAGGAAAGATGCAAGGAAAAAGACTGAAGCCGCTATGAGTCTTTTGGAACTCAGCACATACTTGCAAGCTGACAGTAGAGCTGATTTACCGGTACCAGTGGAAACAGAAGAATCATTACCAGAGGTACCCGAGGTGGTAGAGGAATTGTCTGATGCCGAGAAGCTGGATTTGGCAAATGAAGAAATTTCTCAGCTGAAGAAAGAAAACCAACTATTGACAGAACAAAATGAGTGTTTGAAGAGCATAGTGCATGTACATAGTGATTGTCTTTGTGTGTTGTGCCTTGACTAATGTGTCCATTTGTTGTACCTTTTGATTGGAGCAGGCATAAACATTATTTGATGTGTAATATGTAACTATCAGTGGTGTTATGATACATATATTGTGGCGAAGTATATTTTACAAAGAACATTACAGATATGTTTTTGTTATTTATTCTGGAAGAAATAATTTTGTACTAATGGAAATAAAACTAAATCTCATATTCAAGTTATTACTTTATTTTTTCAATCACATCATCATATACCTTTGCAGGCATGGGTACATTCATGTTTCTTCCCACCAGGACTCATCAGTGCAGCTTGGCTTTCCGAATATGGAAAACTGCAGACATGTTTTTTTTTTTTTTTGTGGTTTTATTGGGGGGGGGGTAGGGTGGTGATGGGGTGGCATTGAGAGTTATGAAGCACAGATTAAATAGTTCACAAGATCTGGATAGGTGATTTCGGGAAAAAATTGGTAATCTTCACTCCATTCAGATTTCTCAATCTGATAAGGATCCTTGCCAATAACAGCATTTTTTTTTCTAAATACCGGCTATGTGCTTGCTTATCCAATGTTTCAACATACTTCTCCATGTCGCGTACATTCACAAATCACCAAATTAGCCAGTAAACAACTCTTTCGTGTCGAAGTCTGCGTAGTGAAAAATTCTTGCGCGATCAGCGCGAGCCCTCCAATATGGCGCACCGCACGGAATTGTGGGATACTGTTACTATTTTTAGCAAAAAGGATGGAACCCTCTATAAGTCCCTCCTCACTTGCCGTGCACCGGCGCACCACGACACTCTGAAGACAGTGTGGGGGAAACTAAACGTCGCTGAATGTGCGAAAACAGCGATCACTGGTCACCCAAATTTATGTTGACGTCTTTACTTATGCTAACATCAACCTCTGAATATATTAGAATGATCGCACAAGTACAAGGCATTTTAGGGTGTTTTCCTCTTCAAAGAGGCGCGCGCTCATGACAAAGCTTTATGTCATTTCATGAGAGAAACGCGCCGTCCATAACTCTACAAAATTCATGACATGTCTTGAAACGTAACGCAATGCCACAATGAAAAATGTGCAACACTCTCGCATGCAAACAGACGTACTGTATTTATCGGGTAAACGCCTGCGTACCTAATCTTATTTTTAGTCACACCGTGATTGGCTGTTGCAGATAAGACTGCCTATCAATCAGACGAAAATTACATTGCTGTTTCTTTAAACGTTTAATGTATTAGTGGTAAGTAACTCAAAATTAGTTTTTCACAAAACAAAATAGCTACTATGTTAAAATAAAAAGTTTACTCCGTGCCTCAAAAGGAGGGGGGGAGGGGGTTGTAAGAGAATTTTGGTGGGCCCCCTATGGCTCGCCCTTGGTGACGGGTCCGCTAATATTAGTTACCGCAATACTGTACCCCCCCCCCCCCCAAAAAAAAAAATGGGAAGAGATGGCCTGGGACTCCCGGTTCAAGATGGCGGATATGTCTGCACGTCCTCAGCCAGACTCTCCCGAGATATACTAGTTCTGTGGGATGGACATTGAAAGTGCAGTGTACAGTGTTTGGGGCGGGTGTAGGAGTGGGTTACGCGTCTATGTCGCTATGGTTACGGTGTCGCGGTTCTTGTTTACGTCATTAAGGTCAACGATCTAGCACAGCACTGTAGCTAGTACGAAGCATTACGCCCAGATTTCGGCTCGATAAAATATCTTATTTAAATGTGGGCGATTTTTGTGTCTACGCTTCAAACTATGTGCTTGGCAACATTGGGCAGCTTGCTGGTAGAGGAAACAAGGTAAGTTTCGGAAGTAGGACAAGATATTACAGACCACACTTTAAAACTTGGTTTAATCGTGCTTGACACGAGTTAATCTACAAGAAATCAAATTAAGTCCACATTGTTTGAATATGTTTGCTGCAGGTACACTTTTTAGATGATGGTTTCAAACGAAGTCTACATGAAAAGCACTTCTTCCTGAGAATTTTGTTATCCTCGTATAGGCCTTTAATTCATCCATCCACTATCTGAGTTGCTTCTCCTCAAGAGGGTCGTGGGCATGCTGGAGCCTATTCCAGCTTGTCTTCGGGCAGTAGACGGGGTACACCATGAACTGATTGTCAGCCAGTTGCTGGGCACACATAGACAAATAACTAACCGGTCTCACAGTCACACCGAGAGAGAATTTAGAGTATTCAATTAACCTACCATGCATGATTTGGAATGTGGAAGGAAACCGGAGTACCTAGGAACATGCAAACTCCACACAGGAAGGCTGGAGCCTGGAATCGTACCAGGGACCTGTGGTGGGCATGCTAACCAGTCGCCCACTGTACTGCAAGGACATAGTGACCGATTTTAGTAACCTTTTTAGTGAAACTTATGATGACACTCAAGATTGTAAAAGTTATGGCACTTCATCTGGAATAATCACCGACTCAATTTTGAAAAACAAAGTGCATAATATCACATTTAATCTGAGAAATCCGTGGTAAGTGGAAAATTTCATAAATTAAGTAACAATAAACCGTCAACAATGGATGAGGTAAATGTCAAATTACTAAAATTAGTTGCAAGTAAAATAACTTTACCCATTTGTCACTTGTTCAACAAGTTTGGTACAGGGAATTTCTCCTCAGATATGGAAATCTGCTTAAACAAATCCTCTTCTGAAAAGTAAAAGTGAGTTTCTCTGCAGTAAAGAGTGGACAATGAATATTCTCCCCATATTAAGTTAATGGAAAAAAAGACACACCGATTTTTAACTTCTGAAATATTAATTAAATGAAATTTCAGCCACAGCACACTTATAATGAGAATCACTCAACAAGCACTGCATTACCAGAGTTGACTGACAATTGGTTGTTCGATATTGTCAAGAGAATGATGGAGGGGCAGTATTTCTATATTTTAGTGCTACTTTTCAATTAGAGGATCAACGATTTGATAATTGAGAAACTGCATACAGATTTGGTCTTACGACACTGACATGGCTAAGAAGTTATTTAACTTGTAGATCACAATCTGTATTTTTTTTCAAGAAAATTTTTCCTCTCCCAAATATTTACAGTGGGGCATTCCCCAAGGCAGCTGCCTGGGACCACTGCTCTTTTCTCTTTTCATTAATGGCATACCTTATGCCCATAAAAGGCGCAGTACAACTCTCTCAGCAGATGACTGTACAGTGTCTTATGCTACAAAGAATGAATTAAGAGTTAAGAACCACACTTCAATCTGACTTGCAACTACTCCAGAATTGAATAAATGAGAACAAGTTGGTTTTCACTCTGTTAAAAACAAAGAGTATGTTGTTTAAATCTAGACACCAGAAAATTGTCACGCGCCTCTCGAGACTCAGAGTAGAAGATCGACTCAAGTGGCATCTTCTGTGTTTAAATTTTTTTTAAAGAATTATTCGGCATAGTACACAACCTGCTGAATTGTATGCCCTTTTGCATTATGTGAGAGGTCAGTACAGGTATTTTGCCAAACAAGCCATTTATGGTCAATTGAACGGTCACTAACCTAGGACTGAAGGAGTTTGCAGATCTGTGTTGTTCAGAGCTATAACTACCGGTATGTGTAACAATCTGCCATCTGCTGTTACTGAAGCTTCTGCGAAAGACACCTTGAAGAAACTGTTAATAATGACGATGCCAGGGGTCTCCAAGTCTGGTTCTCAGGATCCCCTATCCAACCTATTTTAAATGAATTTCCCAAGCTCCAAAACACCTGGTCTATGCTCTCTGAGCATTATCATATTTCATTTTTATGGAAATATGTACAGTACGTACAACAAGCTATAATTTTGTGTAATGGAAATGATACAATGTATGTGAATTAGGTATTAAAGAGAGCACACCAGGAAGAGTACCTGTCAGGTTGATCCAAAATAATAAACAATAATAAACAACACCTGTCCCATATATGCTCACTGACTGCCCAACGGCTGGAATTGGATCCTGACTACACTTACAATGATGGGCATCAGCATCAGCTGATCTTTTTTTTTTTTTTTTTTTTTATCACCTGTTAGGAGCATTTCCACATGCCGATGGGACGTGGAGTTGTTAGGGTCGATCACAATCAATACATTGATCAGAATGATTGTTTTTCTTTTTGTATTTCATGTGCCATGCGCGGGTCAACTCAATTTGCACCATCTCCTAAGCATTCTGTTATGAGCACGGTATTCTGATTAAATTGCTTGTAATGGGTTCATTAAAAAGTGAATGCGAACACACGCTCTTTTCACCATAGCCTGTAGATGCGCTGCTTGCACGTACGTCACTGGCGATAATTTACGGTTCCACAACGGCAGTTCATTTCAAAATCAAAGTGTGACATGTTTAAAAAAAAAGAGAATTCACCAAGGTGCATTTCTTTAATGGTTACACACAAATTTCCAAGTTATGCATGTTGGGTTTGTCAGAAGTCTCGAATATGCCCTAAGCACATTCAGCTTACATCATTCATCTCGCAGCCATCCTATGTAATCACAGGTGTGCTCCAGAACAGCGCCCTGGGGCCTCTCCATCACATTTCTCTCGGCAAAATCTTCTGCGGATGACACACTGCTCTCTCTCTCTCTTTCTCTCTCTCTCTCTCTCTCTCTCTCTCAAGCAAATCCAACTCTTGATGGTCTCACTGAATTTAAACCCTGGTTTTGTGCATTTTTTTTTTTTTTTTAACAACAAAACTGAATTTTTCCATGTTGGGTTCACATGCACACCTCTTAATTTTTTTCTCCATTGGTATCGGAAATTCCACTGGTTTCTCTCTCCTCTGCCCAGGTTAAGAGTTTGGGTGTGATTCTTGACAGCAACCTATTATTTCAAGCTCATACAACGAGGATTGGCTTGTCGACTTCCATATCACCTTATAATATCAATTGACTTTGCCTGTCCCTCACTCCCCATTCCACTACGGTGATAATTCAAGACCTCATCATTTTCCAGAATGCTTACCTACTACTATTCCCTTCTTTTTGTTTTGTTTTTTCACTCATATCTCTTCACATACTCCATACATTGCTCCAGAATTCAGCTGAATCATTAAAATTTTCCTCTTCAAAGCCAAACTCAAAACAGAGTCATAATGTCTTTCTCTGCATAATCTTGTTTTTACATTTATGCTTCTTGTGTTCTTAATTCTTTTACCTGTGTCCCTTGTAAAGAAAAGCGGATTGAATAATGGATGGATGGATGGATGGATGATTTTACTGTTTGATTACACAGTCTCCATGTGTCTGAAAGACACCATCCATCCATTCGTCCATTTTCTGATCCGCTTTATCATCACAAGGGTCGCGGGTGCGCTGGAGCCCATCCCAGCTGTCCCCGGGCAGTAGGCTTGGGACACCCTGAACCGGTTGCCAGCCAATTGCAGAATAATAGCAACAATAGTATGATAATGATGGTGATGATTATTATCATTGTATTGTTCATTTTCTAATATGAATATTTTTCTTTGTAGGGCTTGACAGCTCTCTTGGGGCAGACATTGGATCTGCAAGTATGGATAACAGAGTCACTTCTTGGCCTCCTAATCAGAGAACAGCTATTCTGACTAATCAGTGGGACTCTCTGGAGACAGACCCAGAGATTTTGGCCCAGGAGAGAGTCTGCAAACAGCAGCTAAGAATGCACATTGGTGATCACATCTTGCCTCAAGGAAAGCTGAATGACAGTTTAAAGGAAGGAAATTGGGAAGTGGCAGTTGGAAACAATATTCCACATGAAGACGAGGTGGTTTCTGATAGAATTGAAGTAGCACCACATTCACACAGAACGGGGGAACCTGGAAGAGATGCTATCAAAAGGTAATGCATTAGTGCTAAAGAAAAAGTGTTTTTCACAGACGCAGTACTTTTTAATTGCAATGAGTGAATTTATAACACTGTTCAGCACCAGGTCTCAATGACGCCGGGGCCCCTATTTTTGCGCAAGTCTAGCGCAAAGTGGCGCATGGGTAGAGCTTTCTTTCTTTCTTTCTGTTGGTAAATTTGCAGCCAAGTGCAGTCAGAAATGGGTGTTTGTGCCGTTGTGGGCGTGAACACAGACTTGCTTCATAGCCATTGGAAGCGGCTCCTCTCATTCACTTTAAATTAATTGCAGGAGAAACACACAGTCAACATGACTAGAGTCTGTGAAGGAGATAGACGTGTGCAAAGTATTTTTTATAAGAACCTGCAAGATCTCCACTTGCAGATGAAGTAAAGTTCCTGCGTCGAGAGCACATCACGTTTGATTATGCCATTGCCACACTCCTCTGTGATTCTCCACTGTCCAACTGTGCCCCATGGTCCCTGCTGGCTTTTGGAGCCATGTTTTTACAACCATCCACCGCCTTTCTCACACGGTTGTGAAGGCTTGCACTAGGCTAGTGGGGGCTAAGTTCTTTTGCCTTGGCCTCAGGAGAGATGTCAGAATGTCCACTGTCTTTGGATGACATGCCAGTGCCCCAAAGTACAACGGCATACGAGAGCCCCGTTGACAACTGTTTCTAGTGCCGGAGAGACGTTTTTGACCATGTCAATGTGGACCAGGTGGGACCCCTGCCTCCTTGCTACGGGTTCGTTCACCTCCTCACCATGGCAAACAGGACCACCAGGTGGCCAGAAGTGGTCCCCCTGTCATCTACGAGCTCAATTGATTTGGCCCGGGTGTTCATTGTGTCCTGGGATGCCCGTGTCGACATGCCAGCTGACCTCACCTATGTATGACAGGGGCCCACAGTTCACATCAGAACTATGGATGACAGTTGCTGAGGGTAGAGATTTAGCGCACAATGGTATACCACGCGCAAGGCAACGAGCTCTGGGAGCCATTTCATCGTTCTCTGAAATCCACTCTGAGGTTAAAGTTCACGGACAGCATCTGGATTGAGCATCTCCCGTGGCTCATGCTGGGTCTCAGATCTGCTCACAAGGAGGACCCCCGGACCTCATATGCTGAGCCGGTTTACGACCAGCCACTGTGTGTCCCGGGGTTCTGGGGCGTCGCTTATCTTGTCCCCATTTCAACATCTTGCCATGGCCTCCCCAGTCCCATGTGCCCGCGGACCTGCCATCAGTCAAGTACGTCTTTGTCCGCCACTACAGCCGTTGGATCTTGCTGCAGCCCCACTACAAGGGGCCCTCCTCTGTGGTGTAAGCGAGGGCTAAGAGCTTTGTGCTAGACATTGGAGGTAAACCAGAGAAAATCATAGTTATAGCCATGGCCATGAAAGAAAATGTGCCGAGCGTGGTAAAAACATCAATGATGTTTGATCAGAACACAATTCCGAAGGTTTCACATACGGTACTTTTGGTTGCTGTAGCTGTGTCAAATGCAGTCTTGCATCTAGTTATTTAACTGATATTTAATGGAGCTTACTTTACTAATTACTCAGTTTTGAAAGTAACTAATAAAGTGACTCGTAATCTAATTTATCAGTACTTTATTTATCCGTAGCATTCAGCGGCTGCAATTGTTGCCTCAGCATAAAAATGACAAGTGGTTTGTCCAATACTTTATTGGAAGTTAACAGCGTATTTATCTTCACCCAAAAAAGGCTATTCATTGTGGGAAACTGATAATTGGTCAATCGTCAGTTTTAGAAGATGAGAAAATGGCTTATTACAATTTTTCTAGTTCTTGTTTCTATTGTTGTCTGTCTCATTTTTAGTAATTGTATCTTGTGAAGTTAAGCGGTTTGGGTAATGGATGGATGGATAACTTTCATTGTTTTGCATTGTTTCATTTTTATGCATTCCTTTTTTGACGAGGAAAAATTGTATTTGAAAATTACAATTCAAATAACCACTCATTTTTGCTAGATTAAATTTAGTATTTGTCTTTTTTTATGTACAGTCGATTGCACTTACAGTACATAACTAGTATGACTTTCACCTAATTCATTTTTTTCTGTGAGACACGTCACGCTTTAAAAAACGCAAAATGGTAGTTTTCTTGCAAGGAATAGACGAGAAGCGAGACTACGCTTACCTGCTCATTGTCACACACCCGGGTCGTCATTCCAAACTCTAATAAAACCCGAGTGGCTGAAACGATGGTATTTCATCAATCATTCACCAAATATGGACAGCGTATGGCTGCCTACTCAGCTCTTTCTTTTCCTCTCCTGTCTCTTCTCACAGCTTTGTGTACCTCCAACATTGATTAATATGTGGTAATTAGTGTAGTTTTCCCCTTTTTACTTTGAGAAGAAAAATCTGGTGGTATAGGCCTATGTTGGCTTAACACAGTCCAATTGTGTTCAGTCAATGATAGGAGAAAGTAAATCTAAAGGATTTTTTTAAACCCAGATGTAATGAGCCATTTGTCTTTTTGCTGTGGGGGTTTCCTATGTAATATCAGATAGTACAGTATTACTGTCGTTTGATTAAAGCAACCTCATTAATACACACTTAACAGATTATTTTATTTTATACTGAAATTAATAATATTTGTGTTTAAACCTGTCGTACTTAAATGAAACAAAATACATTCAAACCCCCCAAGACTGAAAACGCATGTGTATATCTTTTTACTTGTGGAAAATGACAAAATAGTAACGCAGGGTGACTTGAATGAGTCACCGTAATCGATTTACTGTTCTGTAGATAGTAACGCGTTTGATAGTTACCCCAAAAAGCATCACTGGTTAATCGTGTAGCATGAGGCAAAACTGCACTACAATATTGTCATGCTGTACCCTCGAGCCAAGTTACCACTAGATGGCAGTAATGACGTTTGTAGCAGTGCTGAGAACATTTTGGTTAAATTATGAATATCGACTTGATTGATACTATATTTGGCCAACAATAGGTATATATTCATTTAATGCGTTGATAAAATGTTAATACTACTAACAATAGTTTGTGAAGTAAAAGTCGAAATTAATGAATTACATTCACTTCAAATAACAGTCATTTAGTTAATATAGCACTATTATTTGTAAAATAGTAATTTATTTTGCAGATAATTGTGCTAGTAACTTGAACACAACAGGAGAGCTTCAATAACACTGAAACTATAAATACTGAAACATCACATGGATAATTTAATATAAGATGTGATTCATCAGTCAACTGTTAAATGGCGTCTGATTGGAGCAAGGCCTAATTCAGGAACAAGGTGAATAAAAGCTTTCATTCGAGAGTTTAGTTTTGTTTTGGGTGAATCGAAAAAAGTGGTCAATCGTAGGCCAGTAACAAAGATTATTGTTTCTGTACAGGAGTCCTCTCGTACGAGTGGTAGTCATCTTCGACTGTATATGTAAAGCACAACAGGCCATCTGTTTTTGGGCACTCAAACTTTTGTCTCCTTCAGACACTGCAAGACGAGTAAAGTAAGTAAGAGGGAATTTACTCTCTGCTGTCATTCCTGCGGTAAATGTTCATCTCTGACTAAAGTATATTGTTTCAGAGGAAAATGACCTCGGTACATTTACACAAAGGTTTCAATCTAATAGAGCCGAGGTAGAGGACACAGTCCTATTCCCATCATCATGTTCTTTTAGTCTTTTTTTTTTCTTAACCGACTCCTCAAAGCAGATAAGCCTTTTCACACAAAACCACTGCATACTTTCCAAACCCAATGCTCGTTCCTCATTGAAGTGAACAAATCCTATCTAAGCAGCTCCATTCATCTCTGTGCACGATATTTTTCACCTATTTACTCAATATTGAGGCATAGTATTTGAGTCCATGCAACTATTTTCTTTCATTGTCACCGTTTTCCCCGCTTGCTTTTGTATCCGGGCCCCTGTACTCGTGGGCAAATTCTGTATTTTTCCATCACACCCAGCTGCATGTTTTAATGCATTCTCTAACTAGTTGGAGTTTGCCTCATTAGAGAGATATCTCTTATCTGTTCAGTTTCGTTGAAAGGAACTGCTCCACACCTTTGAACCCACCACACACACACACACACAGAATACACGCGCACACACACATGCTTCTCATGATGTCTGTAGAGAATTAGACTTTTTTATTCCACCACAAAGAGCTAAAATGTATTTTAATAACATCTTTTTGTTGCCATTGAGGATTTAGTACCGCCATTATGTTGTCTGTTCATGATTTGAAAAATGGCCATTGTGAACGTTTCCCTTGATTGTACTGCTCAAATTCACTTTCATTTGTCAGCTTGAAGGTAAAAATACAAAAGCGATAAATGTATGATTGCAATCCCGGTTAGCATGTCATCTTAGCTTGAGGACATCATCGCTGATATAATGATGTAACGAGCGTGCCTTCCGTTAGTATTGTTTATACACATGTACAAGGTCTTTGGCATTTATCGTATTGAAAACTGTCCTTGGTTGTTGAACTCCGTGAATGCAGTTGGATGTCAGCCAGGGGCGATTCTGGGTTCTGAATTAAAGGGGCTGCTTAGCCCCTCAATTCAGTCACTTTCACATTCAACCCCATTAGTTGGATGGTCTCGGAATGATTCAGGAGTGATTGTCAGACTTAAACATAATGGACTTTTTTTAGGCTTCTGCTCATGAAATTTGTGGCAAAAACATGTAATGTTGTGGTTCATTCCATATTGTTATTCTATACGAGAGAGAAGAGGATTACTGATGGAAGCAGCTGAAAAGAGTTACCTTTGCAGGGTGTCCGGGCTCTCCCCTTGCGATAATGTGAGAAGTTTGGTCATCTGAAAGCGTTGAACAGTCAAACCTCTACATCCTCTACATCAAGAAGATGTAGATGAGGTGGTTTGGACATCTGTGGTTAAGATGCCTCCTTTACACCTACCTGGTGAGGTGTTCTGGGCACATCCCTAGTGGAGGAGGACCCAGGGACGAACCAGGACACATTGGAGAGACAATGGGCTCTATGATCATTGAGGGCGCAGGTGTACTTCAGCGTTAAAAACTGCCGCATCTTGATTTGAAGCCCCGTATCGCGTGTTTACGAACGGCTCTGTGTCATGCTGGGTGTTTCGGCGGATTGTGGGCATTTCCGATGACAAGTCCCCAGCGCATCTAACAATTTGCTGGCTGAAAGTAGACTACACGTTACGCCTGCCGGAACCACTTCTAAGTATTGGTGTCGGGTGCGTACTGCGATTTTGGTGAATGTGGTTGAGGTGCATGCAAACAGACTGAGCTTGCGGACATGTATAGTGGATGTTAACGTTATTATTTACAGATGTGGCAGCAGCGTGCATGCAAACCCTCTGAATCATTGTAGGAATCATTTCATTGAACGAAGTATTAGCGTCTTTATAAAAGTTTTCAAATCACCTCTGCTGTGGCACAGATGCTGTATGGGAGGCGGCAGAGTCGCACTAGGACATATATTATCGAGGTGGACTGTGGTCTCCAAGTGCCCACTTCACAGCGATGATCTGTGATTGCCTTGGCCAACTTCCTCCTTCATCCACCCATGGAGGTTCACTTGCAGTTCCTTTATAAATATACTTTCCATGCTTCGACCTACTGCATGGAATCCATTAAATCAATTTACGCTTCCAAGGACTGTGCGCCTCACGCGTGGAAATTTCAAAGTGAATGAGAGGAGCCACTTAGATTAGCTGTGAAGCAAGTCACCTGGATTCACATCCACCACGGCACAAACTGACCATTTCTCACTGCGCCAAGTTTGGTGAGGCTAAACTTGGTGTAGCCGGCCATTACGCGCAGTTGGACCATGCTACACCAGTCTTAATGCTGGGCATGAATTTAGAGCCCTATGTCTCCCAGGTGGCCTGGGAACACCTCAAGGTTCTATCAAAAGAGCTGGACGAAGTGCCTGGGCACAAGGAAATCTGGGCTTCCCTGCTGCAGCTGCTGCCCTGGCTAGCAGGCCCCAGACATGCAGAAGAAAATTCATGGATGGGTATTTTCTATTACAGATGCGGGCCAAGTTAATGTGAGAGTTGAAATACTTTAATTGAGAGCTCACTCAAAAGAACTTTTACAATAGATCACTGTGCAAAAAACAAAAACTATGACCTACTGTCCATTCCAGTTGAGGCACATAAAAGGGAAGGGAAAAGTGCAAGCTAAAAACCTCTTGTGAACTAGCCTGCTAAAATGAACGAATACAGATGCGAGTGTTTGGCTATATGTACTAAGTGGCTTCTTCGATTTTCCTTTTAACTTACAGCAAACCGGATGCCTGTGATGCCTGCTCAGAATTGTGCTGTTACCCAAACTGGAACCCCAGTGAAAAGGGAACTGTCATCACTGAGAGTTTAAAGTGCCCCGTCTCGGAATATCACCACTTTTTTCATCAATCGCAGAAGCCATTTATAAGAGGATATAGATACATAGCTGATACAAGATCAATGATTCCTATTTCTGGCAGCGACTGCAATCAGCCTTACCACCTTCACCCCCAAGATGGCCAGGTTAGCCCAATAACAACACAATGCTATCACAGCAATGGTTTGCTTCAGAGCTCACCAAAATCCAACTCATCTCATAGTTGTAGAGATCGCAATACCCGTCAGCAGACCAAAGACCAGCCAAAGATTGGCTGTCCCAATGTGGATGCCAATATTGAAAGATCTCTTGAGATGTCGGAGCACACAGAGGCAGTGCATACGATGAACTTGAAAGAATATCAAACCTGCAACCGGAAGGACCTGCAACACATCTCTCCACGATCATTTCCGACCTCACCCACAATAGAGAGTTCTCAGATTCGCTTGAAGAAAAAACGACATACACACACCGAAGACCTCGTCGAGCGGAACAAAAAAACACTAGGCCGCAGCACATCTGGCAATGGATCCTATGCAGACGTGCATGCACTTCAGCAGAAGAACCCTTGCATTGGTAAAAAGGTATTTGGCAATGACAAGCTTTTCGACTGTCACTCGTTCATTACCCTTCACATCATAAAAATTGGGCCGCCATAGCCTACATAGCAGCAACAGGTTTCTGATTAAATTAAAAAAAAAAAAAAAAATATATATATATATATATATATATAATAAAAATAAAAATAAATAGAGTCAAGAACAAAACTCACCAATAAGTCTCAAGTTCAATGGATGTAAAAATTGTGACGCGACCAGTGGCGGGCAATGAGTTTTGGTTCCTGGTTTTCAGTGGGGACTCAAGTTACTTTATCTACTTCTTAATATAACCCCCCATGTTGGTCAATAATATATAAAAACACAATGTAACTAACATGGCATGAAAGAAGAGAAAGGCAAATTTTATATATTTGAAGATAAATACCATTCAGTCATGGACGAAGCTTGCGAGATGCCCACGGCGATTGGCTGTTTTTTTTTTTTGTAGCCCCAACATTTTCATTTAAAGTAGCTACAACCTTGCATGTTTTCTTCTTTGAGTTGAAATAACCATTATTTGCTAATAGCAATAATCTTTATCATCTTGAACATTAAATATATTGTCTTGGTAATGTATTCAATGAAACGTAGGTTGAGCATGATTTGCAAATCATTGTATTCAGTTTTTTTTTTTTCACCACAATGTCCCAACTTCATTGGAATTGGGTCCGTCAATTAAAAATGTCACGTGATCAATTTTAAGATGCCTCACACTGAAATACTTTCAGTAAATATGATCTCCTAAGACGGAGATCGGTGCCTTTTAAGTTTATCCCCACACACCAGCCCAAAAATACTGTTGTCATTACCTTACATTGAAAAGTTGATTGACTTCAAAATGATCACTTATTTGCATCCACGGCTTCAAAAAAAATTTGAGAAAAATATAATTTGCATATTAATTGTGAGAAAATGCTTTTCACCAACCCGATGTTGGAGGTTCAGGTCAGCAGTGTCATGGTTCTGTTTTTCGGTCTGGCCAGCAGGTGGCATGAGTGGTCTTCGGGGTGCACACCTGCGGCCAATCTGTAATTATGAGACTTTGTATTTAAGGATTCTTCTGCTGTGCATCGGTGTCGGAGTATTGTTTATTGCATTGCAACTTCCACGCTCATTGACTCGTTACCTGTTATCGTTCCCGTCGTGTTTTTCGCTCTGGCTTTTCGGTACCATTGTTCTCTGCTCGGCAGACGCTTTATTTTACATATTGGATTTTTCTCGCGTGTTTTCCTATACGTCGTTTTTCTCTAGCATACTCGGTTCTGTCTTCGTTCCCTTGCCTTTTGGATGCAAGCGCTTTTTGTTAACCATTCGTATTATAGCCATTAAACTATTTTTTGTTTGTCACGGAGCTCTTGTTGGTGTCTGCGATTATTGGGATCCAAAACCTGATTCGGCTCGCCCGCAAAGCGTGACAAGCAGAAGTCAGCCACTTTCCTACGACCTGTCCCCTGTCACCTAATTGTTATGAACATGATGAAAAGATCTATTTTAACAACGATGCCAATACAATGGAAAACTTAATGCAACTTATGCAATTAAACAAATCACCAGCAGGAGCTGCGCTAACACTAATAAGGATACAACTCTGATGATTAGATTCAAGATTTCTTTACATTTCAGCAATGGCTTTTACATTATGGCTAAGTTTTAATACTACGAATGTAATGATTTCTTCAGGGAATTATCTTTGCTTTGAAAAACTAAAATGACTCTGGATTGCATAAATCTCCACTCTTTTATTTGACTTTCATCCAGCGGGGGTCGCCAGAGCGAATTCACTCGCATGATTCGGCCAGGTTTAAATATTTATCCACCTCTACACCAAATATTAATGTTCCCAAACCACCCATAGGGTGAGTAAGATTACGTTTAATTTGGAGGTGTTTGAATGCAGCTTTGCTTTCCCAAACACAAGCGGCATCCTTCTCCTATGCCTGCATCAAACAACCCTTTTCTCATTTATTTGTAACATTGCTATCAAAATAGTTTTTATGGTCCTGTCAGTCGGCAACCAAAAGGATGTCCTATGATGCTTGCTTTAACCCCACCTGGAAAATTAATTTGCGGGGTTTCATTTTTCCTCCCTCCCATCGTATAAAAGAGCCCATACATATCTGGGTAGCTATGTAGTGCTTATTATGACTTGATCTGTACAACCAGAACATCAGAGACATGCCTCCCAATAGGCTCTCAGACATCCATGCACCTGGCACAGTGGCATAATTGGTCTGGATAGCACGCATTCACCATTTGTTGGGCCCACAGGACTGTTTTTCTGGCTATAATACCCTCAACCTTGTCCACCCATCTGAGCCCCAGTCCTCTACAATGTCTCATATCATCACCATTTACATAGTCAAGAGCCGTTAGCTTTGTGTCGTGGTAAACAGAGCCGGAGGCTTTCCCTCTCTTGAAGCCTTGGGTTTTGTCAATATCACTCTGAATTTGCTCATTAGTTTTCAATTGCCAGACACATGTTACTTAATAATAATTGCGCTCATTCAATTATTTCCCCCTAATAGATTAAATTCCCAATTCAAAATAACAGCATTATCCATCTATCTCGCTAGCTTGCTATCTATCTATATGTCAGTCTTTATTTTGCTATCTCTCTCTCCCTCTCACTCTCTCCATCACATCCATCTATCCATCTCCCAAGGAAAAAAAGAGCACATCAAAATGTTCTTTTGTGAACTTGACACCTTTTATATGGATAATGAAACAGTGGAACAACCAAGTAAAACATTTAAATCCTTTTTTGGGCAGGTGAGTGTGGGGGCGGGGGCACATCAGCTTTTCAAATGGCGTATTAAATGAGTTGTGCTAAACACAACTCTGTCCTTTCCACCGTGTGAAATGCAAAATTTGCCCATATTGCAAGTCTACACTTTCCATATGAAAAAATTTCTATCACGCACATTATCTTGGTTAAATATTGCTAGTTTCACAATTGCGTCCCAGGACAACTACCAGAATGTTCCCCCACTAGTTTCACGCACCTTGAGAATCACAGAAAAAAATAGTCTGGGTTTTATGTGCCACAATATCAACAGGTATTGTTTTTATGTCGGGCTGCACGATGTTGGAAAAACATGCGATATGCGAAAATGATTTTGAGTATAGCAGTATAGTATTGTGATCCTTTCTGGCTAAAGAAATTACATTTTTATTATTGTATGGAAAAAAAATACCTTTTTCTCATGCGGCAAAATAAGCAAGCTCGTTGTATTCTTTGCTATTTAATTGTAATGCCCTGAGACACTGATCACCTATTGGATGACGGTGCTCATTTCAGGTTGCATCTGGCTGGCCAAGTTCTGATAAAAGCACACAATCTCAGATGAAATTTATTGCACGTCTTTGCGATATGGATATTGCACGGGCCATTATTGAGCATTTTTTGATATTCTGTGCAGCCCTATTTTTGGGTGTGTGTGGGAAAAGCCACACTGTAGTATTAGTTCATCCATCCCTCCATTTTCCAATCCACTTATCCTCACGAGGGTTGCTGTCGTGCTGAAGCCTACCCCAGCTAACTTCGGGCAGTAGGCGCAGTACACCCTGAACTGGTTGCCAGCCAATCGCAGGGCACACATGGACTCAACTCAACTGTATTTATAGAGCACTTTAAAACAACCACCGCTGTATACAAAGTGCTGTACATGGAGCAGATATCATACTGTATATACAACAATAAGCAATAACGAAGACAGTAGAAAGCACAAAACAGTAAAACTAAGATCAAGTCTGAGTCATGCTGAGTCAAAAGCCAAAGAATACAAATGAGTTTTAAGTTTTAAAGATGGGCAGCGAGGGGGCTTGCCGAATGTTCAGTGGGATGTCATTCCAAAGAGAGGGACCAGCAACGGAAAAGGCTCGATCCCCTCTGAGCCTCCGCTTAGTTCTTGGTACTTCTAATAATGTCTGGTCCGCAGATCTGAGGCACTGCGCAGGTGTGTTGGGGCGGAGGAGGTCAGAGAGGTGAGGTGGAGCGAGGCCGTTTAAAGATTTGAAAACAAATAATAGGATCTTAAAAAGAACTCAAAAATGTATAGGGACAAACACGTTTTCAAACTCACAATCACAGCTTAGGACAACTTAGAGCAGGGTTATCCAAACTACAACCCGGGGGCCATCTGCGGCTCGCCCACCATTTTTTAGTGGCTCTCTGTATGTAATAAAAATAACGTGTATGGCTCGCAAAAAAAAAAAAAAAAAGTGTGGGGGTGTGGGAAGTGTTCAGAGTGCGGGTGTTGAAAAAGTGGGTGCACGTGAGTGATGGAGACTACCTCTACTGCTATTAAAAAAGCTTTTCTAGATTTGCAAAGACACAGACAAATTTACAGCCCAAATATTTGATATAATATCTGTGGAGAATAAAGAAAAAACAGTTTCTTCCTCTTCCAGGATCCAATGTGTGAACATATCACATTCATGATCCTCAGTTCAGATTCGAACAAATCGCGCTTGGTTTGGTTCTAAACATTGAGATGGGATTCAGCTGCTGCTTAGTGGAGGTGCCGATCCATTCTGGTTGGATGCAGCGCCGTGGGTCACCGTAAAAGATCGAAACGACTTGCCTTAACCCTTTAATATAAAGCCTTGACATAGCAGTTTTTCAAAATAACATTATTCAAACAACGTGTGATTGATTGATTGATTGATTGATTGATTGATTGATTGATTGATTGATTGATTGATTGATTGATTGATTTGGGGCGACAAGGGGTGGGACTGGTTAGCACATCCTGTGAGAGCGAGAGAGGGAGAGAGAGTTTGACAGTTATGTCACTGTAATACATTAGCATAGCATGTCAAACAAAAGCTAACTGTTGAGAATTTTGATTCATCACAAGGTTTCCCCTCATTCAATCATCCGAATAACATACAACTAATTGACAGCACAAGTCATTTTTTACGATGCGACAATGCCACATTTGCAGTGGCGGGCCGTGCATTTCAACCTTAGGCCTTCAGTGACGTCACATACATTAACACAATTTCGGCTCGTCAAGCAGCACTTAATTTCAGGAGCATTTAAAACCATCAAGTATGCATTCACAATTAAGAGCAGGAAACTACATTTACAGATATTGTCAAAAATAAAAAGATGGTTTAAAATACTAAATAAAATGCCACCCAAATTACGCTGTGTG